GAGTGGGGAGCAGACAGGGCCGAGGGGTGAAGGGGACCCCTAAGCAGGGCCTAAGGGGGGGCCTGGAGCAGTGGGGAGGCTCCAGGTAGGCCCAAGGGGTGAGGGGGGCCTTAAAGCAGGGCCTGGGGAGGGCTCCCAGGCAGGGCCTGGTGTAGTGGTGGGGTCCCCAGGGGGGAGGGGGGCTCTAAGTAGGGCTGGGGAGGGGAATGAGGGTCCCAGGCGGAGCCTAGGGGAGCGGGCCCTGGGCAGGGCCTAAGAGGAGGGAGGGGTCCCTGTGCAGGGCCTTGGGGGGGGGGATGTCCCCACACAGGCCCCACCGTTGGGGGGGGTGCCCTCCCGGGCCCATAGGTGAGGTGGGGGTCGCCCCGCATGGCCCAGGGGTGATGCGGGATGCCCCAGCCCCCAGCAGGACCCAGCCCAGCTGCCTGTCCTGTCCGGCAAGAGCCTTCCCAGGGCCTGGGACAGCACTGGGGAAACTGGTGGGCGAGGGAGCCCCCGGCTCTCTCCCTGCTTCCTCCTGTATTGCACCCAGCGAAAGAGGCCGCCTCCGAGTTCATGCATAAAAGATCAATGGAAATGGTTGGTAACCTCCAAATATTGTTAAGCTTAATTAAGCCTTAAGGACTGTGTGAAGCGTCAGCAGGCAGAGCCGCTCGTTAGCGCAGTGACTGTGCTAGCAGTCAGTGACGGCAGCCTGAGCTCCGGGTTATGTTGGTTCTTCTAAACCGTGTCCTTGTGGTTGTTTTTACAAGCCCCGAGTCCTTCCCGGGGCCCTCCACAGGACCCCATTTTCTGCCTCCCTGCCGCAGGGAGCCCTTAGAGACACTTTTTTCGGGGGGCAACGTCCTGCCATGGGACCCATTGGCTTCAGCGTGGTCTCCCCCAACACACATGGGGCACGTAAAGAACAGGTTCCTTTCCGAACTGAGTGTGGTCTCCCCTTCTTGCTCTAAGTGTAGCCAAAACATTGCCAAGAAGCTGAAGATGCAGTCAGGCATGTGCATTTCTCAGGTTGGCTCTGCCCCCCTGTTCCCCTTCACCCAGCAACAGCACAGGAGAGACCTCAGTAGATTTATGGAAATAAAAGATCTGATTTAAGCACTCTCTTTCCTTGTGTTTAGGGCTGCCTTTGCAAGAGCGGGCAGACCCCGCTCGTAATACCAGCCCTGTTCAACAAAGCTCTGGCATCTACCTCGGCTTAAAAACATCGTGGGGTTAAAGGAGGAGAGTGAGGTTTCTCGTGATAATCTTTAATGTATTTGGGATGAGTTATGGGGCCTAAATACTCTCATAAAAAATCTGTTGCAGGTGTCGCCTGCTGAAGATCGATCCGCTGGCAGAAGGTGCAGTCGGAGGTCTGGAGCTGGGCGTAGAGAAGGTATGATGCGATCTAGTAGTTCTATGTGTAAAGTCTTGCTTGTTTAAAAACATAATGTGTATGGATGGCAACGAAAGGACCGCAATAAAGATACCCCCTTAAAGCGTAAAAATTCCCCCTTTTTTTGTGATTTTGTTGAACTTTCTGGCTGCGCTTTGGCCAGAGTTTGAGGGCACAACTCTCTCTTTCAAGCTCATTTTCAGGCATCTCAATCAACAATATCATTGTTCTCTTCCCTATTTAAGTGAACTTCTCATGAATAATGTACCGGCTGCCTGATGAATATGCACGTTGGCTGGTGTGCCTGGGAGGACTTCATCAATAATTCATGCCTAAAAAATGTTCTTCACCTTGCAAGTGTACAGGAACTGTAAAAAAAAATATATATATATATTTACCCTTTAAAGTGGGAGAGAAGATGGCTTGAAATCTGCCCATGGAAACGTGGAGTGAGGTGGGTTGTCATTAAGTGTGGTGAAAGTGAGCGAAGGGGAGAGCACCTCCGGGAAGGGGAAGGTGATTTCTGAGGGACTGAGCCCAGATGTCTTCACAAACCCAACCCCGCGAAGCCCCGCAGCTTGCTGGAACTGCTCAGGGTTAAGCCTGTTCAGCAGCTCCTGGCTTCAAACCCTGATTTATTCAAACAAACGTGCCTTTTTCCACTCCCCTGTTACCATTAGACAGAAAACTTCCTTGCAAAGGAAGACTGGGAACACTCTGTGAGGCGTGAAAGGCAAGGAGGAAGCATTTCCATTCGGTGGAGCCGGGCTCTTCAGAAGGCACCTGCCTTCACATCCCTTGGGATTGTTTTTATTTGTATTTTTATCGCCGATTACCTCCTTTAAGGGCCTCCTGGGACTCCAAGAGGGGGGAAAAAAAAAAAACCTCCAGTAAACGTCAAAAGCTCTGAAAAATCGCCTCATGAGTCGTCTTGCGCCGTGCGGCCCCGAAATGGAAACCTGGAAAAGTCGAGGCAGTTTCTGGATGCCTGGCTGCGTGCCAGCGGACTTTGCTTCCCACGCCGGGCGCTTCTGAAAGGCAAAGGGAGACGGTCTGCAAAGAGCCTGGCGCGCCATCAACACGCGGAACGGATAAAAGCGTCAATGGCCGAGTCTGTGTTTTTGGGTGAGCGAAGGGCCCACGCTGAAAGTCCTTATTTACACAACACGGGATTATTTAACCCTGATTAGAAGCGGAGCTGGCTGGGATAATACCTGTTGTTTGCTACTTAAAGTAGCAAAAATTAAATAGTAGCAAAAATAAAGTGGCAGTAAAAATTCAGCTGATACCGGTGGCCTTACGAGCAGATGCGTGTTTGTGAAACTTTACTCGTGTGAGTAATCAGAAGTGAGAGGTACTTTGAGGCAGAGAGCACCCTATGGGTGTTGGGCTGTAATTAATTACATAGTGATAACGAATAAGCAGTTGTTAATTACTGGATGATATCTTCCACCCAGGGAAAATGCTCTCCTTCCTTCTCCCACCACTGAAATCGGGGGGGGGGTCCGTGCTTGGCTTTGCCAGGACCCGATTTCACCCAACGCCACAAAGTGGCCTGAAAAATCCCGAGGGTGTTTTACAGCCTGTTTCCAGCTTTAAGGGGAAAAGCGAGGCAGAGGCCAGATCTATCGCAGCACCGACAAACTTGCGTTAAACCCCCCTGCAGTCTTTAGAAAACATGTGCTTAAGCTCAGGTTCAAGGAAGTTTGTGAGCAACCGGAGTCGCTTTGCAGCACGGGAGCCAAAATAAAGTCCTGGCTCGCTTTTCCTGTACTTTCAGCCATTTAAATTCTCAGAACAGCTGGAATTAGCTGGTTTGTGGCATCTGTGTTCCTTGCAGGGCTGGAAACCTTTCCGTAGCAAATCAGATGTGCCAGAAACCGCAGGGTCAGGTGCAAACCCTCCTCTGCTGCGTGTGATTAGAGCAGCCAAGTCGGCGAAAGAAGCGTGGACAAGAAAGCTGCAATATTAATTTGGTCACCTACCAAGAGTTCTCCTCGGCAGAGCAAGCTCTGGAACAAAGGACACGTTCTTGCAGTCAGCGGTTTAGTTTTGCCAGCCATTCCTGTCAAACGGTTCATTAAAATCCCCCCTCCCCTTCCAAACAAGCTATTTTCCTGAAGGAAAAAAAAAGCTTTTCAGCACTCATAAAATCAATTCCTCTTCCAGAAAAATTAAAAATGCACCGTGCACCCTTTTCCCCATATGCATTATATTAACCAGTATGCCAATGTATGTAAATGAGGCTGAAATTCAACTAGATGGAAGTATTTAAATATTCATAATCACAGTACAGCATATGCAAACCAGGCTCTCAGCAGAATTGCGCTGCAGCCTCGGATAACAGCTGTACTCGGGCGAAGATGCTCCAACACATCTAATCCGGTTATTAATGAAAACGGTCAGCGCTGGCTGGCTGCGTATTTGTGCCTCGGCGTTAACCTCCGCCAGGCGTTAAGCGCTCGCTTAATTCCTGTTGAATCTGAGCGTAGGCTGCTCATCAGCACTAAATATCGTTATTAAGTTGGTACTAAGAGGCTAGGCTAGGCTAAGTGACGTTAATTCCCGAAACCTTTCTGTGCGCGCGGGAGAGGACGTGGGATGGATTTAGCCTGGGAAGAACCGCTCGTGGTATTTGCACTTTTTTCACGGGGACGGCTGCTCTGTCCGTGCTAATGTATATATTCGCTCACGGATGAGGGGAAGAGTGCTGTGGGAGCGGGTTGTGAATATCTTCCGATGAACTCCAAAAAAGGTGTGTTGTGAGGCAAGGATTTACATTAGCCCGGTAGCTTTTTCTGCAGGGAAAGACGGATGGTGTAATTCTCTCCGGCTAATAGGGATGGGCAAGAAGTAAAAATAATTCGGGTTTATCAAGCCGTGCTCGTTTTTAAGAGGTGCCAATAACTGAGATGTTATGCTGGAGTTTTTGTCCTTTTTTTTTTTTCCCTCCCTCTTTTCCTGCCAGGAGATAAGAAGGAAGTTACAACTGTAAAAGATACAGAAGGCAAGATAATAATATACTCTGCTTCCAAACAAGCTATAATTGGTCCATAAGTTGGCTGGAAAAGCCGCAGGATTGCACCTGCACTTCTAATGAGCTTTGCAATTACAGAAATAGTTTTCTTCCTTCTTTCAATTACGTAGTGACGAGGTTAAAGTTGCACCTGAGTTCCCTTTATGGCACTTATTTCCTCCCTCCTTCACCCAGTCCACAAAAAAAAAGTCCCTCCGAGCTGGCAGATGAGTCCCCGGGACCAGGAGCTAATTCCCAAGCGGCGTGCCTCGCACAAGTCTGCGCGATCACGCCTGGAAATTTAAATTACTGGTCGGATTCAGAGAGCCTTCGGTAGCATATTCCCTCTCGGAGACACCCAGAAGCAAATCGCGTCCTCGTCTTGTGAACTGTTACTGCCTGTTGATTGCTTCACCCCCAGCGCGGCCCTGCAGCCTCCCAGCTTGACGCTCCGACCGTGCACCGTCGGTGAGCGAGCACGAGTTCAGGGCAGCCGCGAGCGCCGGCAGCCGGCGCGATCCCCGTTACCGAGCTGTGGCATGTCCCGTCGTCCCTGCAGGAAGGTGCTGCTGCGGGAAAGGTGGGTGCTAGTGGCTACGTGCATCCTCATTTTTGGGACTCCACGGGTGTCCCAAGGTCCTGTACGTGCCGGTCAGGGAGCTGTCAGCTCCCCTTTTAAATAAACCCCATTTTCAGAGCAGCTCTAAGCGTGGGCTCCGAAGTCCCCCAGATTCTTTCGAGCCCGAAGGAGGGCAGGAGCCCCTGGCTCCGCTCGCCCCTGGGACGTGCAGCCCTGGAGGGTCGGACACGACCCCGCTGCAGCCCGGCGCGGGGAGCGGGATGCCAGCTGGCCGGCGCGCGGAGCTCAGCCTCCTGCATATTATGCTGGGAGGCTGGATCTGAAGCTAATGCTATGCCGGGAAGATGGAGCGTCTTGAATTATTACTGTGGCTTCCCCGGGTGAAGGCAGGCGCTGCTCCCGCCCAGGCCCCTGCCTCCAGCTCCCACTTTAAAGCCTCAGCGAGGTTTTGGGGGCTTAAACCAAAGCCCCGAGCCCTGGCAGGTAGCGGGTTCGGCACCGGGGCTCTATCCCAAGCCGTGGCCCTGGAGGAAAGTGGATAACGG